ATAGGTGCTCAGCCATGGATTTCCCAGAATCGCTACTTCAACAGCTTGTGCTTGAGCCCTTTGAAGGTGTACTTGGAGCTGCTGCACCTAAGCCAATTGCCTCAGAGCTTTTCATCAACCTCATTCTCTTACATGATTCAACAAACATTCTGCAAAACAGAATATGCATAACCCTAATTACCAACAGAAGTTCCATCGACGACCTCGATGGCAATCATAGGATAAAGAAGTTCGAGGGCATATTTGGAAACTTACTTCCAAGGGACATCTCCAACTAGCATCCAGTCACCATCTTTGTCTTCATAAGTTGGAACATATTCTTCACCATTTGCTGAGTCCACGAGTTTCCTCTCATTCAACACATTACCTAAATCAGATTTAATTTAATCATCATTATTAATACTTTAATTATGAAAATAATAATCAATTAATATGGATTATTAATATGCTTACATATGGTTAAGCATGTAAACATATCCCCCATTGCAGTCAACAAATCCTGGTAGCTACTGTGTATTTCAAGATCAATTTTTCTTAAATATGGAGCTCCATCTGCAGCTACTTTCACGTATTTGCAATTTTTCACCAAGTTCTTCCTGTATGATCTCACTGGAGGCCATCCCACAACCTGCGTCCTATATTGAAAAAAGAAACTTACGTTAGTAACAAATAACAATATATAGTTTCCGACAAACCCTATAAAGACACACACACATTTCGTATTAGAGAGGATTAGACAGTAGAGACGAAGCTTTTAATTTACTTTTGTACAAGGTACCAAGCATACAACGAGGTATTGGAAAATTAATGTGCCATTAGATAAATTAACATACGTGGAAGGAGGTTGAGATTCGGCTTTCGAATCATTCACCAGTTTCAAATCTACTACTTCGGAAAATCCACGCTTGATACCAGACTTCTGAACTTGCAAATCGCCGGGTAAACCCAAAGTGAGCTCCGTCTTCAGGCCGCCGGAGGTTTCAGATTCCGGAGACATTTTCTCTGTCCTTGTAAATTGACAATTGGCAGGCTATAGAGATTGGAGAAAATTAAGAATTATTTGTCGTTGAAGTGAAACATGAGACGCGTTTTATATAAAAAAAAAGGGGAGGAGGGAACTGGACGGCAGAAATACCCATTGACCATTAATGATATGACACGTTTTTAAGGGTAACTGGCTCCGACTCGTCCATGTCGATTCGAGTTATGAGAGAGCGTGATTGTTTGTGATTTTTGTAGGGCTTTCGAGATTTGGGTCCCGCCTGTATTTTCATTGATTATATGTTCTCAGGGGGGTTTCTATTGGGTGCAATTTGCGCATGAACGCCCACATGGGTTTATATGCCTGTATTTTCATTAATTGTATGTCTTTTCCATGGTGTTCAGATGTTCGACTTTTCTACAAAATCCATGGCTCTGAAATCATGGCATACTTGGATTCATCTGAGAGAAAAATTATAAACGGTTTATTTTATCAATAAGTAATCCGCCAAAGTACCTGAAGGATTTAAAGAATAGCTTCAATGTTCGTTGGTTTACTACTGATTACATTATTAAGTTTATAGGAACGAGCAAAGAAGGATTTGAAAAGCCCCAACGACAAAGAACTTAGAGAAAGCGTGCTACCAATTACTCAATACGATAATTCCTCACAAATAATTGAGGAAGCTATTGTAAGGTGACTAAAACAACATAAATGACAACTACCCACTCTCGCCCATTACCTACCGAACATTCTATATAAAATATGTTTTTACTTTTTACTCCCTACTTTTTCTCTTCCTTTGAAGCTAAAGCTCCCCTTGCCTTCTTGGTTACACATACACATGTAATCCCAAGTCATTCTTGGAAGGACCGATTCTTCCTAGATGAGAAGATTGGCTAATTTTCCATCTAAGTTCTTAGATCAAATTAGGAGTAGCGCTACCTCGCTTATTTTTGCTCTCAAAGAAACGAGCGAACTGATGACTTCCAATCCTCAATGACAAAGACATAATGATGACTAGCTTTAACGGGCTCTAGTGATGATTGCATTCATGGCCAAGTTGCTTTCATTGGGCCATATCATATATAGATTTTTTTTTTTTTAATTCGATATATAGTTGTACCTAGTTTTATACATTAATCCATGTACTAAACAATGCTCGAGAACTGGGCTTGGTTAGTAGTATAAGCCTGTTCTTTCTCACCCACCCGTCGACCCATGAATTTTTCAAAGTAGACTTGAAGCGTGGGGGACTGTGAAAATTATGCAACTATAAACTCCATAAAACTGTATCAATTCCAACACGACTTATTGTTTTGGATTTGACGAAACAAACTATGGGAGCCTCCCAACGAAAGTCAACACAAATTCGACTTGGCAATAGAAAACTTGAGATACGATGCAAACAATTAGTCGAAGCCTCACCCTTAATTTAGTTTCGATGCAACTCTATAAAAAGAATGATAAATAAGTAAAATGATACTTGTACGTTCTTCAAGCCCTTGTTTGAGCCCAATTTTTTAAAAACTCATTTTCAATTACACATTTTTTAATAAAATAATTTTACGCGTAATTGGGAAAAAAAATCTTATTTTTTAATCACATTTTCCAAAAACTGCTATTTCAAAATACATTTTTTCCTTAAAATGAGGTTCAAACAATGACTAAATGTACAGTTAAAAATAAATTTAATTATTTATAAAAGAAAACATGTGGGTGTAGGAGTGAGAATTAATGGGATACACGGAATCAAAACTTTTGTTCATGTGTAGAAACTAGAAAGCAGAAGGTGAAGAAGGAGCCACTTGTCGGGGTTCTTCAGGTAAAAAGTCAACCTTTCATGAGTCCGTGTCCGCAGAGAAACTTAAATACCGGACAGTGGGTCGCAGGATCCGCATGTGAATGTGTTGCTTTGTCGGCTTATAATTTCTCATTAGGTCCAACAGACACGTGGGCAACAATAATTGGTGTTCGCCCCGTGCTTATTGAAACGTTACCGTCACCGTCATGACAACGAGGGTTTTGGGGTTCCCCATTAATTTTTAGGTCATTTCCCTCGTTTGATTAAGCACGCCACTTTTTCATTACATTAAGCTGCGAGCTATACTTTTTCCCAAGCGTGGAAGATATTTTTCCATCGTTGACTATTACAGACTGTCGATAAAAACACACTTGCGAAGAAGACGGTTTTGATAAGTTGATTTTCTATAAATTAATACCGGTAGGTAAAAATGACTATTGCACTTCGAAGTAGAAATAAAACAAAAATCATCTCGAATTCGAGAGAGATCACTACAACAAAAGCAACTTTTCAAAGCATGCATCCATGGCGTGCATCTACAGCATGCCGTAAAAATATACTGTTTACGGCATGCAATATTTAAAAATCAATTGCTTAAAGTATATACGGCGTGCAGAGACCAATGATCGTAATTGGGGTATCGGTCAATGATCATCAGTCACCGATCAACAATTATCGGTTAACAACAGTCATCGGTCAACGATCATCGGTCTCCGCCCGTGCTGAATTATAAGGTTGGATTCGCCCCTGTCAGTTGCAAGTGATTTTTAACGATATCGATACTTTTGATAGTTATTTTTTAATGTATCAATCTCATAGACAGTGTTGAGATTTATTCCCACGGTTTAAAGTGTTCAATTTGGCTAATCAACTTCTTAAATAGGAAATAAAATAAATATTCAATTATATTCACTGTCGAACACATACGAGTCGAAAAAATAAAGATTAAATATAATGACTACATGCTTAGTACATAATATTATTAACTATATTGTACGTTACATAAAATAAGATTGTTAACTTTTTTTTCGTTCCTTAAAATATTATCTAATACTGAACATATATTTTGTTACAGTTTCTTAAATTTATCCGACTGTCTAGAAGTTTGTAGACATAGAAGTTATAAATGAAGTTCAGCTTCACCATTAAAAAATAAATAGAAATTAAAATATTATTCATTATAAATTGTAAAGTCATGTCAATTATTGTCCACCAAACATTTGCTAAACAATTAATCTAGGTGTAGACCATTGATTTTCATTGGTTTCAAAAACTGTTTTTGAAATCGTTGGCTTAGATGTTGCCAACACATATTTTGTAAACCAAATTTGTCAACCTATTTTGTATACATAACATGATTGTTTGCTAAATGTAATATAAGAGTACTGAGACGATAAAATATTGAAACACGACACAGTTTATATTTATTAGAAAAATAAAAAAATTGTCATTTTTTTCCTTCTTTTAATGATGAGGAGCTCTACTATGACTATTTGGGGTTTAGGCAAATTATCTTCATATAATATTAGAATAAGATTTTGTTGAATTAAAGAAGAAAAAAAGTCGAAAATTTATATGTTATACTGTATAGCAAAACCAAACATGCCCTAAATGCATTATTGTACCGCATATAACATGAATTTAGAATGCGCAATATATGAAATAATTTAACAATAAAAGTGTAATATCTTATACAAAATAGAGGCAAACTTGTAAACTTACAGTACAAAGTCTGCAGTTATATCTTACTGAGAATTAATTAATACAAGTTTAAGGTAATTAATATAGGATTACTGCCTAAAATATGGACTAGAAACAGTACATAGTACGCTAATCCATCATTAATTATAGGGTCATGCCTCCATTGAAATGCCCTTGAGAAGGTCTTCTGCATGAAGCTTTATGCCCTTAGCATCCAACCTCTTCATGATTCTTAGCCTTTTGCATGATCCACTAAACATCCTGCAAATTGTACCATGATTCTTACTTTGACATACCATTTCGTGTATAAAAGTTCATAAGATAATACTTTTTACAAATAAATAGTTTTAAAGTACACCAAACTAATGTCCCGCCTCTGGGTGATGCACGATAGGTGCATTCAACCACCCTGGGTCAGCCAAGCCAAAGGTGAGAGAAATCAAATTCTTCTCTCTTCTTTTTTTTACCTTCATGTCGTCTTAGACTGAGACGAGGGGGTATTAACAAGAGTTATGCTGCATGTACAAAGTTGAGTTACAAAGTTGGTTGACAAAATAACATTTACGCCAATCATTTTAAAAACAGATTTTTAAATTATTTAAAATCAACGGTGTAGATTTTGCTAACACACTTTGTAACCCAACTTTTGTAACTCAATTTTGTACAAATAGCTTTATTGGTAGTAACAAAGGAGCTTATTAACTTTTCCATGACAATAAGCTAATGAGCATATGAGCCTGAAATCAATGCTAATGAACTAAGCAAATTTTCCTAATTGAAAAGACTCTTCCATCCAAATGAATCATTCTTCTAATCTCTTTTCACTCTCTGCTTCGAAACTGAGCCACGGCACATCATCCATTCATTTCGCTAAGGGAAGACAACGAAGTTCGTGTTCCTATGACCACAACAGAGTGAAGCAGCCGAGGCGAGACCTTAACTAGATCTCGCAGGTGCCAACTAAACTATAGGTAGGTCAAAAGTCTCTTATAATGGACTTTTTTTGCACCTTCCATACTCTCGGACATGGCCATACGGTTAAAAAAAAAACACGAGTTGAAAAAAGAGTGACATGCCATATACTGTCAAAACAATTGATTTTCAGAAGCGTGACTTCAAACAGAGTCAAAGACAAAAGACTGGAAGATTAGAACATAAGTTTTTCGGACGTGTGATTATTGTGTTGGACGAGAATCCGGTTGTCCATGGAAAATTGGTCCTAGAAATCTTTCTATGTACTTTATAATGTTTGGCTTGGCCCGGAGAATTTGTCCTTAGTCAATTCATTATGGAGATTTCGAGTGTGTCGGCAACAACTCTAAGCCACCCCAATTACAATACGTTTATGTCAATCCATTTTACATCCCTCATATTACCCTATATTTGGCTCGTGTTTATAAATTATGTATCAAATCACTAACCGTCACATGTATTTACGTAGGACAACTACGATAATGAGCGAGTACTGCAAATAGCAATATTCCATTTTGAATACTCAATATCGGTAACACAAAATTAAACTCAATCAAACTGTTATTATTAGCAAATTAATTAGTGGGCGAGATAGATAAAGAGAGAGGGGAGACTGACTGCCATGGGACATCTCCAACAAGCATCCAGTCGCCATCTTTGTCCTCGTATATTGGAATGTATTCACTATTGTCTCGTTCACCTGTTCACAACACAACCAAACAATGCATAATTTTTTCATTCTTCATTTAATTCTTATTATTTTATCATTAGATTTGCATTTTTCAACCCTAATAGAATTTCAATCCCAGTTAACACTCACAATTGCACCATTCCGCGTACCCTAGCTAGCGGAACGGACCAACTTGATCTTATGGGGCCCTATCTAAATATTTGCTTTGTTAGATTAGACATGATATCGAGACATGTAACATGTTGAACGATTAGTACATTACGTTTAAGAAAAATTCTACTTGTACATCAACTTTTGTACATAAGGGGTATGAAATTCTTAGATGAAAAATTCTACTTATCCATCAACTTTTGTACATAAGGGGCTACACCCCCCTCACATGGGGGGTGGGACCCACTGCATAAAATATTTTTTTATTTAAGCGGGTCTCATCCCCATGTGAGGAGGGTGTACACCCCGATGTACATTATGATATACAAGTAGCAAAGCCGTACATTTAATTTAGCATACTACATATATGTTCTAAATTCTAAAATTCTAAGTCTATACTAGTATTCAAATTATTTAGAAGTTCATCTCAGTGGGAGAGTACGAGAAATAAAGTTAGCACCATTTATATCTTTCTTAGTGAAAACTTGTAATTCTATTGTTGGAAGTTAAAACAAAATTATTTTTGGAACTTTGAAAATTTGCATGGATAAAAATTGTCAAACAAAAATCCGAAGCTTTCTTCACAGACAAAAGGTCCATTTAGTATGACATTTGAAAAGTCAAAATTATTTATAGCTTCCTCGTGAAACTCTTCTACACAAAACAGAAGCACCGCCAAACATGTTCGAACACTTATATCATTCATGCCTAATCTCTCTTTCTCTACCACGACTAGAAAACGCGTTAAATTTGACGAGCTTCATAAAAAATTAAGGTTAATTTGACAAACTTATACTTTGAAAGAATAGAATTACTGACCAATGCCATAGCAGCCAAAGAGTTTTTCAAGAGCCATGAGAAGACCAGAATAATCCTCATGTGTACTCAAATCAATCTTGCGTAGAAAAGGAGCACCATCCATGCTAACTTTCACGTAGATTTTTGTTCCCTCTTCCCCACTAAAGCTATTCTTCAGCCGGTAAGAACATACTGGTGGCCACCCCACCACTTGATTCTTGATCGCCACCTTTGTCGACTCTTCACCGGAAAATTCATAAAACACCCTTTTCTTCTGTTTTGTTTCCATTGAACCATTAGGGTCACCACCACCTCCTCCGGGAAGCGCCAATGTTAGCTCAGTTTCGAGTCCTAAACCTGCATCCTTGGCCATTTTCAGACGATCACTAGTGGAATACTCGAATGTGAATGAGTTGGATGAGTTTCTTTATTCTGGGTTTGATCACAAAATTTGGTTTTTATATATGTTTACAAGTGAGTACACAACGAGAGCAATGCCAGGTCAAGTAACATTAATGGTCGGTCACATGAGATACAATGGTGGGGAACTATATGCTACCTAATACAGTAGAATGGACCGGCAAGATTAAAGTTGAAAATAAGCAGAATGGAGGGCTATTGATCCGTGAATCCGTGATGATTTTAGTGGTTTGATCGTGATCGTTGGATATGATTAACGGGAACATTGCATGTGATCTGCTTGATTGAGGTGGGGCTCATAATTTTTTTTTACACATATTGTGTTTGGTACTATACTTTTAAGTTCTTCGAATTATTATATTCATTTATTTTTTTATTATGTCTCTCTTCGTGTGTGTTCTTTGGCAATTATTTGCCTATGGATTTTTTTTCCTTAAAGAACACGTATCAAAGGAAACTGGAAAAGAAATGCATGAATCAGCTCGTTCCATCATGATATATATACAAAAAAGGACTTGCGAGAACAGTCATAACGTAGTTAATATAGAAACTTAAATACTTGTTTATGTTTCATTATAATGAGATTATATTAAGAGAAGTAATGAATTCCATGAAATATGCAAACAATAAGTTTGCGTTAGTTGTGACGCGTGGCTAAGATTAATATTTCACTCTCAAAATAATATTTAGCCTACCACAAAATCTCATGTCTTGCTTAGCTCTAAGCCCTAGGGATAAAATACTCTTATTTTACACGTTAGGGACAATAGTTTCCATTATGACCGAAAAGATACCAAATTCTCCTTTAGGTGTTTTAACAATGGTGTGGGTAAAAGAAGTTGCCAATGAATAACCAATTTTATAAGGTTCAAAATGGTGAATTGGAACAGGTGAACGCGGAGACCAAAGGTCACGAATTCGAATCCTCGGCCAACACTTCCTTGGTCAAGCTCGTCACATAGGGCTTGTCTAGTGCGGTTTATCACTTCTTTGTGGTTTGCGGGATACTGCACTTGGAGCGGAATTTATCTAGTACGCACTCACAATGGTCGGGTCTCCGCGGTGGGTAGCGGTTGTCGATTCCTACGTCAACAAAAAAAAATGGTGAATTGGAGTAGAGTAGACCAATAATCTTGTACTATTATTGACAAAAAAAGACACCAAATTCTCCTTTAAATGCTTCAACAATGGTATGGGTAAACGAAGTTGCCAATGAAAACCTATTCCTCCCAACACCCTCCCCCTCCACGTGACACCTTTTCCATGTTTTCATTAAATTGGTTTTCCAACCACTTTGGTGGGAAAATGGTTTTTCAGGTTTTTTTTTTTTTTTTTTT